CTTAACCTCTTATCTCAGTTTCCTCGAATGTGAAATTAGGAAGATAATAACATATCTCAGTTTTGTGCTAAGGATTATATGTGATTACAGATGTAAAAAAGCCTTGCACCAGACCTGTCATTTACTAGGTGCTGAATAAATGTAGTCTTAGTGCTCTTTGGATCACAATCCTATAGTTACAATCATAATTCTTCAATGCAAGCATGAAACCAAAGGGTGTGGCCTGCTACTGTCAAAATTTTAGTGAGCTAGGAGGACTACTCCACATCTTCCTAGAAATAGGTATTTGCTAGTTGACAAACGTAAGTTATTTGTATCCATGGTTCCTTAAAATACCATTTCAAAGCCAAATGTACTTAGGGCCAGGTGCAGTGGCTCGTGCCTGTAATCCCAGCACTTTGGGAGGCCAAGGCAGGTGGATCACCTGAGGTCAGGAGTTTTGAGACCAGCCTGGCCAACATGGTGAAACTCCATCTCTACTAAAAATACAAAAATTAGCCAGGCTTGGTGGCAGGCACCTGTAACCCCAACTACCCAGGAGGCTGAGGCAGGAGAATTGCTCAAACCTGGGAGGTGGAGGTTGCAGTGAGCCAAGATCACGCCATTTTACTGCAGCCTGGGTGACAAGACTGAAACTCCGTCTCAAAAAAAAAAAAAAAAAAAAAAAGGCTGGGCACGGTGGCTCATGCCTGTAATCACAGCACTTTGGGAGGCCGAGGTGGGCAGATCACCTGAGGTCAGGAGTTCAAGACCAGCCTGCCCAACATGGAGAAACCCCATCTCTACTAAAAATACAAAACTAGTCGGGCGTGGTGGTGCATGCCTGTAATCCCAGCTACTCGAGAGACTGAGGCAGGAAAATCGCTTGAACCTGGGAGGCGGAGGTTGTGGTGAGCCGAGATCGCGCCACTGCACTCCAGCCTGGGCAACAACAGCAAAACTCCGTTTCAAAAAAAAAAAAAAAAAGACAAAAACACAGTCAAATGTATTTAAAGTAATTCCTAAAAGGAAAGATCTGAGAGCTCCTCAGACAAGTCATCAAATCAAGCGCTTGTTTATGCTCAAGCAGGAAGGCCAAAGTTCCAGGTAAAGGCTCTCCTTTCTAGAATCAGCATAACTGCAAGGCAACAGACCATATAAATAGTTTGAGGCACTGAACAAATGGAATGTTGTCTGGAATGATAATGTGGAAAGAGTTCATGTTAACACAGCAGACCATTTAATGTAAAGAGACACATTTTAAAAGCTACCTAGAGCTTTCTAGGTACAAGTGTTTTGTTCAGGTTTTTATGCAGACAGAAACAATTTAAAAACAGGCAAGGACAGAAGGTATCAAAATGTGTTTTAAAATCTATCTGAAGGAGTTCATTACTATCAGCACTAAAACCCAGTCTTTACTCTCCTCCTTAACCAGGATGCAGTTCCTAGAGATAAAATACAATTTTAATACTGATCTAATATAGTAAACAATCCTCAGACCTTTGGAAAGAGTTCTCTCTCTCTACACACACACGTGCATGCGTGCGCACACACACACACACTCACACACACACACGTTTTATCTTCCATGTATCCCTCTCCCCCTCCTTCCATACTATGAAGTAATATTTAACCCCAAAGAAATAACAACCTTGTTAAGTTTGTTTCCTTCTTTGCTAATCACTGCAATGGATTTCAGAAAGCACAAGGTGGCAGAAGCACACTAGAAATCCAACTGGAATAAAGGCTACAGTACAACGTGAACATCATGAAAATGGCAGCAAACTCTATTTTTCATAAAAATAAATGAGTACTTTTTCATCATAACAAACATGCTCAACAAAATTTTGAAAATGTGACAGGTAGAAAAAGGTAAGGGGATTGTATTACCCAGACAGATGGACAAGTGTTTAATTCTTCCTACTACAATTATTAGTTGTGATTTTATCAGATATGCAACTTTATATCCTCCCTTTTAAACTCAAGCACTTTCAAACCTGATTTATTCAAACATCTCTTTGTTTCAAAAAAGATTTAAGGCATCTGCATGTGTCCACATTTTTATAAACATTTTCAAAAGATCATTGATTAGAACATGGCTAATTTTATCTAGCCATTTTCCCATTAGCAATGATTAAGTTAAACATGATCAATAACACCTGAGCCAGTAAATTTACATTTTAAGATCTCTTTTCAAAAAAATAAACAAACAGGCTGGGGGCGGTGGCTCATGCCTGTAATCCCAGCACTTTGGGAAGCCAAGGCGGGCGGATCACCTGAGGTCAGGAGTTCGAGACCGGCCTGACCAACATGGTGAAACCCAGTCTCTACTAAAAATACAAGAATTAGCCAGGTGTGGTGGTGGCCGCCTGTAATCCCAACTACTCAGGAGGCTGAGTGAGGAGAATCGCTTGAATCCGGGAGGCAGAGGTTGCAGTGAGCCGAGATCACGCCATTGCACTCCAGCCTGGGCGACGGTGAGACTCCGTCTCAAAAAACAAATAAAAACAGCCGTCTGAGAAAATCAGACATGAACAAATAACATTTTATTCCAAAACAGAATCAAATGATGCTATCCTGTTTACTTTTTGCACTGGCCTGTGGGTACCTGGACCTTTGTTTTCTTATTTTACAAACCTGTATCTACAGTGTGTGTTTGTGTGTTTAGAAAATCATTTTATACATCGAAAATATAATGCAATAGTTTTTAAAATACTTAAGTATTGTGGTAGCAGTCAAAAATTATTTATACTTTTAAAAGATTGCTACCAACTAGATTTGCCCCTGGAAAATTAACCAAAGCCGTAATTCATTTGCTACTTTGGAATCAACATGAATACTAAAAACAACTGTATAAAATAATTTGGTCTAGTCATCTGCTTTAGACAGGTGAAAAGCCATTATTATTCCCCTCTATTATGGCCTCAGGCAAGTAAAGCCAACATCAGTGGAAGACGGTGCTCAGAACCCTGTCAAATATGGGGAAAATTCTGTATCTCCGGATGTCTTGTGACCTTAATTCAGACCTTTAATCCACAGGTCAAAATATGTAAAATTAGAAATAATGTAATGACTCTTCTTCGCCCTTTTAACTGAAACTCAATTTTCTCCATTATATGAGCAAAACAATGACTTCCATGGGAGAGGAAATTCAATTGTCAGGAACAGAAGTTATTACATTCCAGCAACTTCTGAATGTTTAGTCTTTGAGTCTTTCGTAAGCACTAACTAAGCAATCACAGGGAATTCTCTTCAAGGAGCATTCTCATTCATGATTTTCTCCAGGCCCCAGTGAGAACTCTAAATTAAAGGGCTCTCCGCCCGGCGCTCATGCCTGTAACCCCAGCACTTTGGGAGGCCGAGGTGGGCGGATCATGAGGTCAGGAGATCGATCGAGACCATCCTATCTAACACAGTGAAACCCTGTCTCTACTAAAAATGCAAAAAATTAGCCGGGCATGGTGGCGGGCGCCTGTAGTCCCAGCTCCTCCTTTTGGGAGGCTGAAGCAGAAGAATGGTGTGAACCCAAGGAGATGGAGCTTGCAGTGAGCCGAGATCGCACCACTGCACTCCAGCCTGGGCGACAGAGCAAGACTCTGTCTCAAAAATAAAAAAAAGAAGGGCTCTCACTCCTTATGGCTTTACTTGCTTATTCCTTCCCCAGTAGCTTAGAAGAAATTTCCCTTTTTATTCAAATGTGCTCAGCCAGGTCAGAGAGGAGATTTCCTGAACTCTGAGCACCAAGGTTAAATCTTCCATGGTCTAATACCTTGCAAGCTGCAAATAATTGAAGAGGGGGAAAAAGATCACTTTAAAGAAATTATTAGTATAGAACCTTTCTGCACTTTCTCAACATTTCTTCCCCTTAGGCCTGCATGAGAAATTCAAGACCAAGTCTGGATAATTCAACTATAAACTCAGCATCAGAATGTTTTCTGCCTTCCTATTTGCTAAGGTTTCCAAAAACTGGGCTTATCCATTTCCAGAGCCCTGGAAAACATTTGAAAACATGAACTACATTAATAATAACGTGCCTCCTCTAGAGCATCCACATTTTAAACGCCTAGAGATCCTGGCTTGGGAAAGCTAGGAAAGTAAATACCAACTATGATGACTGGAGAAACTAATCTAAATTCCTCTGCTGAATCTTGTCCTCAAACTTCCAATAAAAATAAGTTAGGTTTTGGCCCTCAGAACTATTCCTTACAAAAATTGCTTGTCATTATACCAGAATAGTTTCCCCCATTTTCTGTTTGTTTGTTTTTCCTCTAGTTCTATTCTTTCCCACATAGATTAAACCAAAATAAGATTAGCCAAACCTAATTTGATTCTAATCCAAGCCACACACCCTATGTATTCCATTACAAATCAAGTTTAATTTACTGACTTCCTTGGGTCCCAACTGAATGACCTACTGGAAGCTATGAAAGGGGTCACTGAGTAAGATTGCAGGCCAAAAAAAGAATGTGAAAAACACAAGCAAGCCTGGAAACAAATTCACCCAAAGACATAACTTGGTTAAGATGTTTCTTGTGGAATTTGAATGCTAAAAGATCAAGTCCCCTAACAGGAAAAGCAGCCAACAGAAAAGCAGATGCATTAATTCACTCATAATTCGTTCGTTCATTCATTCATTCAACAATTATACACAGACCTCTCATATTCAAGAGTGTTAACAACAGTAGAAACTTCAGGAGAGTATTTGCTTTGTAGTGCTCAGTTCAGCACTGAAGCCAGTCTCCCATTACCACAGGATTTTTTTCTGTATGTTGTAAAATCTGTGAACATAAACTTTACTTTTTAACTGCTTTTTTTTTTTCTTTTTTTGGTGATTTGGAAGCTGAATTAAAAACTTCCCCTTTAATTTTGGCAATGAGTAGCTTTTAGATTCTTTTAATCCAAGGGATTTTACGCCTTCTGAAGTCAAGGTTTTCCTCTAAAGAATAAAGAATTTTGTTTGCTAACAATGTGAAAGTAAGAGCTAATATAATAGCTACATATGGTCTTATACCAGTGATAAGTCACTAATGTTGTTACAGCTTATGTTACAAACGTTCACAATATTTTTGATCCTCAAAATCACCCTCATGACAGCAGTACTACTGCAGAGAGGTGTGAGGAAACGAGTGAAAAACCCAAAAAGAAGAAAAAGCAAAAGCCCCAGAAGGTTCCTCAGGAGAATGGAACAGAAGACCCATCTCTTTCTCCAAACCCATGAAAAAAGAATCTTTTTCCAAGGAGGAGATGATGAGTAGTGATCTTGAAGAGACCGCTGGCAGCACCAGTCTTCTGAAGAGGAAGAAATCTTCACCCAAGGCGGAAACAGTTAATGACCCCGAAGATGCAGGCAACAGAAGTGCCTCCAAGAAAAAGAGGAAATTCTCCAAAGAGGAACCGGTTAGCAGTGGACCTGAGGAGGCTGCTGGCAGCAAGAGCAGCTCCAAGAAGAAGAAAAGGTTCCATAAAGAAGCCCAGGAAGATCAGAATGCAAATAAACAGTCTCTGGGAGGCGGGGCATACCATAGCTCAAGGTGACATATCCTACCTTGTCTACTTCCCCAATAAAAACAAATTCACACACACACACAAAAATCACCCTCATGAAATAAGAGAGGAATTATTATAACCACTTTGAAGATTAGGAAGTGGAGGCTCAGGAAAGGGAAATGATATGTCCAATGTCACTTTTTCTAAGTGGTGAATTCAAATCTTAAGACTATCTGATCACTGTTCTTTTCTACTTTTCCTCAATTAATGTTTAGTTTAAAATTTAAGATTTTGTGTATTTTGTTCTAGGGGTTGGGACTATAAAGCTATACACATATATAAAATTCCTCCTTAGCCTAGGCAACATGGCAAAACCCTATCTCAACAACAACAACAAAAATACAAAAATTAGCTGGGCATGGTGGTGTGCATCTGTAGTCCCAGTCACTTGGGAGGTTGAGGTAGGAGGATAGCTTAGGCCCCAGAGGCAGAGGTTGTAGTGAGCCAAGATGGTACCACTGCACTCTAGCCTGGGGCAACAGAGCCAGAAACTGTTCAAAAAAAAAAATCCTCCTTATGATTCAAGAGATTCCTGCATAGTCCTCAATCTTTGATTTTGCTGTAAGAACAGATCATCTGCCCCATTTGGGTTAAAAACAAAAATTAAACACATAATACAAACATGAGACTATAAATACATTAGACTTCCAATAAACAGAACAAAAATGTTCAGTTTAGTTACAGCATGTCATTTGGTGAACAGAAAATTAGAAAAATGATTTTAGGCCCCATTACAGCATTATTTAACTAGAAAACTTTGGGTAAATTTCTCAAATTCTGTGCCTCAGTTTGTATACACTATTAAATGGGGATAAAAAAATTGTCCTTCAAATGTTATAACAAGTACAAAATCATTAAATCTAAAATTGGTATATATTTCCTAGTTCTACTGGTATAAGAATTCTGAAAAAAGAGAAGAAAAGTTCATTTCCAGTTTCGTCTCACGCAATAGTTAACATACAAGGTAGTTTTTTTTTTAAAGTTTGTTTAGTATCTAGAATATTGTGTACACATTCATTAAATTCCTTAAATTCTTTTAACTGATACCCTTTGGACCCTGAATCCAAAATTATGTAGCCATTTTCCCTATTACACAAATAGACTGGTTTGCACAGGTTACACAGTATGTTAATGGCAGAATCAAAGGTCAAAATGTCTGATCGATATCCTAACCATGCTAGGATCATCCACGGCTAACAAGACAGAACTGTGACAGTCTCTTTAACGTCAGCAGAATTCTCTAAGCTGAGCCTTATTTTAGCTATCAGTTTCCTTCAGTTCTCATGCTGAATTTTATCAGATCTGCTTCTTTCTCTTTCTCTATTCATGCCTAATAAGCAAAGAAATAAAAAATAAAAGCTGTGAAAAGCAGAGCACAGCATCTGGATAATCCACAAACCAGAAAAACCTGACTGACAAATAAGAGTTAACTAAATGGATTTTTTTTTGTGGGTTTGTTTTTTTTGAGACAGGGTCTCACTCTGTTGCCCAAGCTGAGGGCAGGCACACAATCACAGATCACTGCAGCCTCAAACTCCTGGGCTCAGCCGATCCTCCCACCTCAGCCTCTTGAGTAGCTGGGTCTACAGGCATGCACCATCACACCAGTCTGATGTTTTGTTTTGCTTTGTAGAGACACTTCTTGCTATTTTGTCAAGGGTGGTTTTAAACTCCTGGCCTCAAGTGATCCTCCTGCCTGGCCCTCCCAAAGTGCTGGGATTACAGTCGTGAGCTACTGTGCCTGGCTGGATTTCTTTTCTACAGTTTAGAAACTGAATCTTCTTCAATCACATAATGAGTCTCAGGATATAATAGCAAGATACAATGTGAGTTTGTGATTAAATTTTATTTTCATGAATTTTTTTGCATAGCCAGAATCACAAAACAAAAATGAGGAAATGCTTAAGTTGATTTACAAAAAGTGAAAGAAAAAACACAACTGTGGGAACTCCATCACCAAAACAGTAAAAAAAAAAAAAAATTCTCAAAAACCTTTCAGAGGCCGGGCGCGGTGGCTCAAGCCTGTAATCCCAGCACTTTGGGAGGCCGAGACGGGCGGATCACGAGGTCAGGAGATCGAGACCATCCTGGCTAACACGGTGAAACCCCGTCTCTACTAAAAATACAAGAAAAAATTAGCCGGGCGAGGTGGCGGGCGCCTGTAGTTCCAGCTACTCGGGAGGCTGAGGCAGGAGAATGGCGTGAACCCGGGGGGGCGGAGCTTGCAGTGAGCCGAGATCGCGCCACTGCACTCCAGCCTGGGGCACAGAGCAAGACTCCGTCTCAAAAAAAAAAAAAAAAAACCTTTCAGAAAAGGTAGTCTAGACACCCAAAGAAATTCATAAATTGACTGGCTGGAGAAGATCTGTTGAAAATATATACATAGAACTTACAAATTAAGAAGTAACATATGGAGTAGGTAGCCAAAGCATATGTGGAAATAGTAGCAATAGTTCTGCATTTACCACCATGTGATTTATATTGGGCAATGCATTTTTTAAATCTATTATTTTACTTAATCCTTACAAATGCTAGATTGTTAAGAAGTCTTGCTAGTCCTTAAGGGAAATAATCTCTCCTTATTCTGTACTTGTTCACGTTATATCTATACTGTAAATGTAAACTTATCGAAGACAAAAACAATATGATTCATGTTAGTCCTGCCTTAGGCATCTATAGTTGCCTGCCCAATAAATAAACTAGTAGAGTTTAAATGAGTAATTTTCAAACTTTGGGTGCATAAGAACCTTGAGTAGATCCTATTAAGAAGGCAAAGCTCTATAACCCACACCCCAAAAAATGACTCAGTATATGTGAGTTTGATCTACTGCTTATGTGAAATATTCAACAAACACTTACTAAATACTTTATGCAGTAGGTATTATTAACTCCACTTTACAGACAAGGAAACAAAGCCTTCAGTAAATAAAGTAACTTGCTAAAAGTCATAAAACTTAGATAAGAGTCAGCACAAGTACAATAGACAAGATCTCTCACTCATTCATTCCTGTATTCACTTATTCAACAGGTATCTGAATACCTCCTATAGCCTTTTGCAAGGGAAATGCATTCAGATAACAAAAATCAATTATTTCTGTACTATTAGCTGACAGTCCTGAAAAGCTACCCTCTACCAGTGTAGTACTGGAATATACATCAAAAGGGATGCAAATCAAGAGGCAAGAAAAAAGGGACGTTCTAGTTTTATTTCTAGAGATAGCAGCAACTATTTTAGAAACAGCTGTTTCCTTTGGACACTAAATTTTTTTCAATGGGGAATAATATTTTAAAAGGTGCTTTTTCTAGGCCTGGCACAGGCTCAAAACGCCTGTAATCCTAACAGTCTGGGAGGCCAAGGTGGATGGATTGCTTGAGCTCAGGCGTTCAACACCAGCCTGGGCAACAAGGTGAAGACCCAACTCTACAAGAAATACAAAATTAGCCTGGCGTGTTGGCATGAGCCTGTAGTCCCAGCTACTTGTGGGGGCTGAGGAAGGAAGATCACTTGAGCCTGGGAGGTCAAGGCTGCAGTGAGCTATTGCGCCAGTGCACTCCCACTTGGGTGACAATTTAAGTAAGACCCTGTCTCAAAAAAAGTGCCTTTTAAATATCTGTTTAATGTCTTGGTTGTCTTTTCACTGTTCAGAAAATTCATCTACCTCTTTAAATCTGTATTATCTTTGGTAATCCCTATCAATCTATATTAAAAGTCCCCAATATTTTTATTAATAGTTAAAAAGATTCTGTTTCCTGCTTTTTCTGTTTAATATCACTTATGGAAAAAATAGTTCCCACTATGTCTGAATATTTTTTTTTTTTTTAGACAGGGTCTCACTCTGTCACCCAGGCTGCAGTGCAGTGACACAATCTCCGCTCACTGCCACCTCTACCTCCCAGGCTCAAGCAATACTCCCACCTCAGCCTCCCGAGTAGCTGGGACCACAGACATGTACCACCATGCCCAGCTAATTTTTTGTATTTTTTGTAGAGATGGCATTTCACCATGCTGCCCAGGCTGATGTCAAACTTCTGGGCTCAAGTGATCCGCCTGTGTTGGCCTCTCAAAATGCTGGGATTGATTATAGGTGTGCACCACCCTGCCTGGTCCTGAATTTAGAGATGAAACTTTATTTCTTATATTCCACAAATTTCACATCATCACAAGTAAATATCCCACGTTTATGCTGAGCAGAGTACTGACCTACTTACTAGAGTGTATTTATCAGATATGTAGAGTCTAAGAATGGTAAGTATAAGATCCAACATATTTAAGGAAAAAATACAGCATGAAGAAATTGTCCCGTATGTATAATTTCAAATTAATACATATAATTGGACAAATAAAATATCCACTTCCCAGTTAAATTCTTTTTCTAGGTCATAAAATAAACATTACTTTCAAACTTGTGCAATTCAGCAGAAAAAATGTTTTGTTCTAGACCCTTTCAAGTGCCCCTGTGACCTTCTCCCGCAATGATTAAAAAAAAAGCCCTATTGCCAACACCTATACTTGCTGCCTTAAAGTATGTGTATCCAAATCAATAAAAAATGCTTCTTGTTGTACAGGAACAGGGGCAGGTCAGTAGACAAACTTCCTGCTTTGGTATGCTTCCTGTTTTCTGCTATCAGGACATACCTGTAAGTAGTAATCAGGATCACTGAAAAAACAAATTGAGAAGTAGAGAAAGAAACTGACTTGTTGCCAACCCACCTGAATTCAAGCTAATTCTTCCTGTTTATTTAGTTCCTGTTTCAGCTTGGTTAATGACACTTCCCTGGAATGTATTTGTTTAGAAGTCCAAGCAGAGCCATTTCTTACTAGGAAAACAGGCCCAGAGTGAACCAGAGATTTGAGAGGAAAAGAAACCTAACTGGGAAACATTTTAAGCTTCTCAAGTAAACTAACTCAAGAAATTCTTTCTAAAAGATGTTTTCCTTTACCCAAGATTTTGTTCAATGTTCCTTCAGTAGCTACAATTTACCAGGCACTGTAGAGATTACATCTGTGTCAACATTTCTGCATTCTTTTTTAGAACAGAGTTCTGATTTACTTCAATTGGGTTTCTAAGGGACATAGAGTTTTCCTAGAAAAGCAGAAACTTATGACCAGAAGACAATTTTGTTAATAGTCCAGAAGCTTCCTTATATATTGTTTAACTTTCAGGAAAGACAACCATTATAATCTTCTCAACTTCATTACTGATATAACCATATTATCTATGAAAATGCATTGTATCACACAATTTATATGCATTATCTTATTTGTTCTTCACAATGACCCAACCAAGTTAGGCACTATTTTGTCCTTGCTGTAGAAAAGGAAACTGTAAAGCAACTTGCCCT